CCAGAGCCCACCGGAACAGCCCAGGCCAACCCATGGGAGCTCATTTCTGATCAGGCAGGGCCAAAAGGCTTCCCAACTAGGAAGTATCTGAGATCCTGGCTCTGAGGAGGGACAGAACTCTAGTACTTACTTCCCTAGAAGTCCTTGAGCACTGGGGACACTTCTCTGTGCTCCTCACAGCCTTCCCCTCTGCTTCCATCCTAGAAGCAGTGGCTGCCTGAGCTGCCCTCTGGCTGGGCCAGGTCAGGCCTGAGGCTCCGAGGGGACAACAGTCCTTCCTGTGTGTAGTGGTGCAGGGCCTGGCCACCTCTCACGGAGGGCCACATTACTGCAGCCGTGAGGGACTGGCCTTGTCTGGAGAGGAGCACCGAGGGATGCAGTGGTCGATCAGACACACCTTCTGGGCTTCTCGAGTCTTCCTAAAGAAGGCTCCTTGGGCCCGATTCAGACCCAGCATGAGCTCTTCTGGGCCTCTGCCTCTCTGTGTGGCTGATGTCCCTGCCTCTGTGGCTTTAAGCGTCAGGGCCCTATCAAAGCTGTTGGCCTGGCAGCCGAGCTGGAGGAGTGCCATGTGGGCTAGAACCCTGAGAAAGTGAATCTTCTGTGAGTCTAACCAAAATGGTGTGCAGTTGCTTACCTCCTATAGCAGGAAGTCACCTGGGGAAAATTGAGTGGTGGTGCCCAGTACATTTTGTGCTGTCAAATTCTGCTCTCAGGGTGGAGAGTGGCGTTCTTAAGATGAAGCCCACCAGACACCGGGGAAAAGTTGCTCCGAAGAGGCAGGGGAAAGTGTGGGAGGTGTGGTGGCTATTGGCAAATGCATCAGGAAGTCAGGAGGACAAAGGAGGAGGGTATTGACAGGCAAGAGCCAAACCACAAGAGGGCAGGGCGGCTGCTGGGAAAGCGAATCAGAGGTTGTGCAGCTGTAATGGATGGGTGCTTGACTGTGGCTGGAGATGGGTGTGAGCCCTGGGCTTGGCACGTGCTGCAGAGGGCCTTGAAGGACCCGGATATTGCTGATGTCACTGGAGGGGGACAACAGCTGTGATGGACAATTGTCAGACACAGAGTCTGCATCTGCCATGGACTTGCTGTGTGGCCACTCTGAGCCCCAGTTCACTCTTCTGTGAATTACTTCCTGCAGTGTTGTGAGCATTCAGTGAGATAACAAAATGTGTCAGAGCTCGGGAAGTCTAACGTAATTTCTTATTTCACGTTGGCCTACTGGACCGCACATTATGAGAAGGCAGGAACTACGCGTATGTCATACTCAGGCCTGAACTCGAATACTGAGGCTAGTGCTTACCATGTAGAAGGTGCTCGGGGAATATCTGATAAATGAATGTGTGTAAGAATAAGCAACTACAGCTTGACACATGATAATTATTCCATAAGTATTAGCTGAAAACTGACTAGATGCTTCTATGTTATAACAACTCTGATCAGATCTTGGCCTAGAAGGGTAACTTGGGCAACAAGGGGGCAGGGAGTTTGGAGGACGTACAGGTGGGAACAAGAGCAACTACTGGAAGGCTTTGCAGTAATGCACACGGTGGCATTCGCGGAGATGGGAAGGAAACACTGAAGGGGAAGGAGCAGGTGGAAGTGAGGCAGGGGGACAGAGGGCTCCGTGTCCCACTTGCAGAGGCGGAGGCTGCAGCAGGAGGGCCGGGCCGTCAGTGAGCTGCCTGGGAGGGAAAGAGTTCTGAGATGCCCGTCTGTGAGGTTTAGCTGATACTATTTGCATAGGTGAGACTTGGCTGTTGGAGACACAGGTGCATAGTAGGAGAAAGTAGCCGATGGCTGAACCCTGGAAAACCCCAGGAAGCTAAAGGGAAGAGCGGTGCACTGGCAGACTGAGAGAGTAGTTCCTGCCTTGTCTGCGAAGCTATGTTTTCAGGCGGTCTGCCTGCTGTGAGGGCAGTCGCAGGGCGAACTCTCGGTACTGCAGTGTTCCAGGACCTGCGTTCTGCAGCCGGCCCAGCTGGGGTGGTCTGGCTCCACCGAGCATGCACATAGCATGTGTGACTGTGTGTAAGTGACTTCCTCTGATGGAACCTCTTTGCCCCCTCTGTAAAACAGGGATGATAACTGGAGCTTGCCCATCGGTGTGTTGTAGGGATTAAATTAAATGATGCATGTCAGGTTATTAGTACAATACTTGCACATACTGGCTACTAATGATTTCAAAATATGTTTCAGAAGTGGGGTTACACCTCACCCCAATTTTTCAGCCTCCAAATACAGATCTCTACCTCTGACATCCCTCAGCGGGATAGTTGAGGAAACCTGAGGTTCAAACTTGCTCAAGCTACCATATCAAGCTGGAGTTGGAGCTGGAACTAGTAGAATACCAGCTTCTGTCTAACATCACAGTTTTTCTGGAATAAACTGGCCACGTGGCAGGATTTCATTTGAAAACGAAGAAAGCTTAGAATAATGTTTTTCAGCATTTAACCCTTTGAGACAGGAACATCACCCATTAACCATTCAGTGGGGCTTTCTGAACCCCAGCACAACGCCCCAGATTTCAGGTTCCAGTTGTGCTGCTTAAGGCGCAGAGCCCTCCTCCTGAGCCCAGGGACAAGGAACAGCCAGTTCCTGTCCTTTGCGTTTCACCTCCAGGGGCATAAAGGGCGTTGTGCAGGCTCGCTGTGCCTTCTTTCCACTGCCCCACCCCGCCAGGTTGTCGGCACTGTTGGTTCTTCATAGAGAAGAGGTCATCCGACTGAAAGGAACCCCGTCTTTCTCTCTTTGGGACCCCGAAGTTCAGTCTGGAGTTTTCCTCCTGGAGGCTGGCCAACTTATTGTATTATATACGATCTTCGCAGATTTCTTCTAGTCCCGGGGTTCTCACCAGCACGGTCTGTTCTGCTGAGTCTGCACGTGAGGCACCCTCCCAAGCCTAGATTCACTGACGGACGAAGTGGGGCAGGGAGACACAGGCAAGGAGTTCGGAGGTGTTGAAAGTATGAGCTGTGATGAAACACAGTTTCCTCATCTGCAGAGAGGGGATGAAACCTGCTGTCAAGGTTATAGAGCAACCTAGGTGAAGTAATGGGTGTTAAAAGGGCTTTGAAAAGCCCTATTCAGACATCAGGTTTTCATAATATTTGGGATGGCCTGGAGCAGCACCTAAAAGAACACGGTGTCACTCAGAATGTTTCCCAATCAGGTCTGGCTGCTCCTGTGCTGCTCACAAGGAGAGATCGTGCTGACTCCTGGGGTACTTTGGCTTGGTGTTTAAAAAAAGGTTATTAGCTGCATTTTAAGATTGCACATTTTGAATGAGTAACACCACGGTTGCTTCGCAGGGCTCCCTGCATGACTCCAAGGGCACAGTGTGGCCACAGAGAATCTGGGGTCTGTTTTTTCCTTAAGTACTGGATTCCCACTGAGCAAGAAGTGCCTTTTATAAAGAAAAGTGTGTTCCTTTGTGGCCTGGACAAAGCAGGTGGGCTGTTATTGATGGCCTGAGGAACATGCAGAGCCCCTCTCTCTGCAGCATTCATTGTCATGGCATTGGCCTTGGAGGTACTAGTGAGGCCAACACAAGCTTCCTTTGCCTGAACCTCCATCTCAGGGGAAAACCCACCAAAAAACTGCCTCCACAATACTCATGTGAAGAAAAGATTGCTCCAAACAAAGCCAGAATCTACCTTCAATACCATTAATGTGAGCTCTTCCCCTCAAACACCCCGAAGCCCCCTCCAGCCCTCGTCCCGCCCCCTGCTGCCTACCCCCACTTGTTATCTTCCTGTCCACAGAGGTGGCTGCTGGTTTTGAGGGTCTTCCGAGCCCAGGGTGGCCAGTGGCTGGAGTGCTGGCTCTCTGCTACCTCAAGTTTATGCCTGCCAGGCCCTCACAGGCTCCTAGGAGAAAGATGGCATGGGAGAATGGGACCCAATGAGCTGCACTTTGGAACCCTCCAGAGCCCTGGCAGCGTGGGCTCCTCATCAAAGTAGCCAGAGCTTTAGATGGGGTGGGCAGCCTGCTGTCTGGGGTGAGTTGAGCCTCCGCCCAACTCGTGCTCCAGGGTGGCGTTGTTTCGAAGCTGCAGGAAGAGCCTCGCAGACTTGGAGGGAGTCCGATAACCCCTCTCGGCCACTTCTCAGGGCCCCCAGGGTCCATGGACCATCGGACCCCGAGAGCACACAAGAGGCGCCAGGCTCTGGAGGCTGTGTCTGCTTTTTCTGGGACTCCAGGCGGCAGCGCCCTGACAGACGGCAGAGCGCACATCGAAACGGTCCCATCCCTGCTGAGCAGCCACATCACAGAGGCTAAGAGCGTGGGCCCTAGAGTCACACAGACTTGGGTCTCAGTCCCAGCACACAAGTCCTCCTGTGCGACCCTGAGCCCAGCTCCCTCACCCATCAAATGGGAATAATAATCTCTTTCTCCAGGCTGTTGGGAGAGTTAAATGCCCGGCTGCATGTCAGTCACCCTCACACGTGGCCCATCTTTGAACCTGGTTGTAGGTGATCTGGGAAGTTGGGGTGGCAGGGAGGTTGCCCTGATTGCTGTGAAGGATTCAGCCCTGGTCAAGGAAGGTGTTCCTTTCCCGTCTGATGGGAAATGTAAATGAGCTGTCCATGGTGGTAATGACAACATCTGGCAGAGACCCCTCTTGGCCAGACTGTCAGGGAAACACACAAATAACCTGGGTGTGTCTGCAGGCTCCTTCAGTATCCCGAGGTGCCCTGAGGTCAAGTTCCCCTTGGTGGAAGGGCAGGCTTGCTTCTGTGGTTGCCATAACTTTGCATATGGTTTGCATATGCTTGTGGGGCGCCTGCAGTGTTTTCTGGCATTTTCAACTTAGAATATTGCTACATCTCCAGGCAGGCCAAATATTGATTTCCTTCTTCTCCAGTTACTTCTCTAACCACTCTTATTGACCTGGCTCTTTCACCCAGTGAATAGGGAATGGGAGGGTGGAGTAAGAAGGTGGATGGGGAAGGGGGGAGGGACAGGGTGGACCTTACAGCACATTCAGTGCGGTGCATGCGGGCTGTCATGGGTGAGGAGAATGGGCTGTTCTCAGCAGGATGAAGGGCAGACAGAGAATTTTCCCCCTCGGGTCCATCCTGGTCTAGTCTATCCCTGCATCCTTTATCTGACCTGTGGTGCCTTAAGTCCACTGGCCACCGAGATCCAGTGGCACCCAGTGGGGTGGAGAGGTGCAGGCCTGGGGCAAAGGAGAGGGAGGGCGCCGTAACAGCCGTGCAGGGCTTTGAGGAACCTTGCGAGAGGAAGTGGCTTCGGAACCGCTCTGGCCGTACCAGGGGCAGGAAAGGCACGGGGAGGCGGGGGAGGTGTCGAGATGGCGCTCTGCGCGCGGGGCGAGGGAGGGAGCCGAGGACATGAAACCACAGAGGCCCAGTGAGCCTGGGGGCGAGGCAGGTCCGATCCGTGTTCGCAGCTGCTGGCGCCCCGCCGGGAAGGGAACAGGCTACCCCGCCGCCCGAGCCACGCGGGCCCCAGGGTGAGACACGGCGGTGGCTGGCGCCCGCGCTCTGCCTGGCCGCGTAACCGACTGGCCCAGGCTGCCTTGGAGCTCCCGCGGGAACCTGCGGAGGGCCCTCGCCTCCCTGCCTGCGTCCCGAGGGGCCCAGCGGATGCCCTCGCTGCCTCGCCAGCTCCCGGGTAGATGACGGTGGACCGCAGCATGAGCAGTGGGTACTGCAGCCTGGAGGAGGACCTGGAGGACTGCTTCTTCACTGCGAAGACCACCTTCTTCAGGAATGTGCAGAGCAAGCGTCCTTCGAAGGTACGCTCCATAATCGAGTACAGGAGACTTTCAGGGGCCGTTGGGGAGAATGACCTCTGTGGTCTCGGAGGGAAATGTCGCTCCTGGCAAACAGGCAAGGCCTGTCCTTACCAGAGTGGCTGGGCAGTTGCCGCGGCCCTCTGGCACTTGGCTGCACAGACCAGAGGTTGGGTCTAGAGCCCTTCGGGGACCACCGGCACCCAAGATTCTCTTTTCGGCATTTCCTGTCCCTAGACCTTTTCAAAATGGCTCTCTAGGATTTTGGCCGCACTGGACTCATGGTTTGGCCACATGCTCACCTGTATCTGGGAGAGTGATGGGGCAACTGTTTCTTTCTCTGTTTCCCCCAAATTTGAGCTTGGAAGCTCTAGGTGGAAGGCGATTTCACGCAGTCCCCCCCCCGCAGGGTAAACACTTGGAGGCTGAGACTTCCGTATTGTGAATGCCCAGACACCGTCTTAAAACCCAGTCCAGCAGCTTTGCAGAAGTCCCCAGTGTCTGTAGAAGCAAACTAAAATTTCTGTCCTACTACCACTTTAACTTCCTGGGTTGGTCGGAAGTAACCTAAAGGGTTTTAACATGTGTTACCTAATGGGGTTCTAGGTGCTTCTTAAAGTTGTCAGCCCTTGACACCCAGCACACCTGAGTCCCCTGGCTAAGGGGCCCAGGCCCCACCCTCCCAGTTGCTGTAGAGCCAGCAAACAGCCACAGACCTGGTGGGAGTGGTGAGAGAGCTCTGCTTATTTATTAACTTTGTTATTTATATGAGAGGGCTCTAAGCCAGGTCCTTGGAGAAGTTACCTAAAAAGATCTATTTGTGGACCAAAGTGTGCTGCTGCTGTATTTCACAGGCACGTGCAGGCTCCTCATTCATTTAGCAGCCTCTCCGTGTAGAGTTAACCCGAAACGTCCCAGGCATGACTCTGAGACCTCCTTTATGAACAATTCATCTTGCCTGTAGGCCTGGCATTTGCTGGGCCCTGACATCAAACAAGCGGACCTTTCAATTGTGGAGGACGCCCAGGGACCAAAGAAGTTTTTCACTGTAGTGTTTGAAGGAATTTACTAAAACTGGTCCCTCAACCCCCATGCCTATTTCCTGGGGCTCTCCCCTCCCCGGGCTGGGGAGCAGGGCTTGTTCTGGAGGGCTGGGGGAAGGCAGGCAGCTGAAGGGAGGGCTTACGCAGAGCAGCCTGGCTGCAGAAGGGAGGTGTGCTGCTCTCTTGCGGTTCTTGCCTGATACGTGGATCCCCGCCCCCATACACACACACACGCACACACACACACGCACACACACGCACACACAGAGGCAGTCCAGGTTCTGGGCCCTTTAGACCAGCGGTTCTCTATCTTAGCTGCACCTTGGAATTACTTGGGGAGCTTTAGAAAGTGGGGGTACTGGGTCTCACTGCTGGGAGTCTGGTTGAACTGGCCTGCGATACAGCCTGGGCATCAGGATCTCGAAAAGCTCCCCAGGTAATTCTGATGTGTGGCTGAGGTTGAGAACCATTGCTCCAGAGCAGGGGTGTCCAACTGCGGCCCGCCGACCGTGTTTGGCTCAGGATGGCTATGGATGTGGCCCAACACAAAATCACAAACTTACTTAAAACACTATGAGATTTTTTGTGTGTGATTACGTGTCACAGTGTATTTAATGTGTAGTCCAAAACAACTCTCCTTCTTCCAGTGTGGCCCAGACACTAAAAGGTTGGACACCCCCGCAGAGAGTTTTGCTGCTGCCTGCGGAGGAAATGGTTCCTGTTTTTAAAACAAAGTTTAGCTGCCACACTTACTATCAGCCAGGCTGTAAGCCCTGGGTCCCAGAAGGTGGGCTTTTGGCACAGTTGGTGGGGGAAGGTGCACCACAAAGCTGGCGTTTCCTTCCCTTGGCAGGTGAAACAGCTAGCTGTTCCTGGCGTTTCTTGGGAGAAGTAGACGATTTGACAAGAAATACGCCGGGGTGGGGGATGACTTGTTCCTTGTCCCTCCGTTCACCCCCTGCCCCCCACCTCTCCTTCCTCGCCTTCCTCCTGCAAATACCCCTGGGTTTGGTGCCCACACCCACTCTTCCTTTACTTTGGTTCTGAATCCAATGCATCCAGTAGGCCTCTGAATATCGCCCTATCTCATGCTTCCCAAGCCTGTAAGCCCTCAAAGGGGGGGCCTTACCCCTTCTAAGAAACTCATTTGGTTGAACCTCAGACAGGGCTTAATGCTTCCCAAAAGGAAGGGTGGTGGTCCTGGCCACTCTTACCCTGGTCTCTGCCTAAGTAGAGTATGAGGAGAATCCTGGCTGGAGATTCAGAACTGCCCTCGGGACGGTTCTGCTCGGCACCAGACTCGCATTCAACACAGTGCTCTTCGGGGGGAGGGGGCAGACTCTGCTGGGTGGACCGGCCCTGTGGTGGCTCTGCCGGCTGAGGGGGTGAGTGAGCGCACCTAGGTGTTTCAGTCTTTCCTCCTTCTGAGTGTTTCCCCCTTAATAACATTTTCACCTCTCTTCTCCCTTTGAGCACTTCTGGAAAGGGTTTCCAAAGAGATCAGCCAGATTCTGACCCCATTCTGACCCCCTAGCTATGCTTTTGGCCACCTAAAGAGAGATTGCATCTGAGCTCCTAAGGGAATTTCTTTTCCGGTCTCCAAGGAAAGGCATGTATGTGTGAAGCTGTGTCTGAGAGATGGAGGCCCCCATCTGGGAGAGGCTGAGCTGACTTGTATAAATAGCCTTGTCAGGCTGACCTGAGTCTCTGCTGGACCTGGACCTGGGCCACAGCAGAGCTGTGGGGAAGCCCCCACCTGGGGTGCATCACTACTGGGCCTCCAGGGAGTTCCCAGGGCCTTTCTCCGATCCCACTGGTGGGAGGTGGGAAGGTGGAGAGACAGCAAGTGAGCACGTCTGAACAGGCCTGGGCCCGGGCCCCAGCTTGCTCTCACCTTTCAGAAAATGGCAGCTTCCCACGTGTTCTGCCTCATCTGAAAGAGGCAGGGAGGTTTTGAGTCACACCAGGCACAAGTTCAGGGGCCTGAGGCTGTGCTCTCTGGGCACTTCCCCCTTGCTGGGCACAATTAGGTTGCGTTTCCTGAGGTTGTGTGTGTCCAAGTGGGGCACCTGGCGGCTTGTGTGGGAACCCACCTGTGTGCTTGGTGGCGCAGCTCAAGAGCATCCACGGCTGCCCCTAAAGTGCTGGAGTGTCAAGGGGGGTCATCCAAGGTCACAGAGCAAGTTTATGGCGGATTTGGGGTGACAGCTGCTAGCCCAGAGACTTTTCTGTCTTATTCGACAAAAGGTAGGATTTGGCACTTGTCAGGCTGGCGACTGTGAGGCCAGCTGCCCCTTTGTTCCTGTCTGGGATCTGGCCCTGAAAGTGGGGCTGACTTCTACTCTGGTCAGGTCCCTGAATGCCTGCAGGTGTGGTTGTTTGGGTTTTGACTTTGGAGCTGGGATGCAGGCACTCGGCCAGTTTAGCAGGTGCTAGGCCCCAGGCCTTGATGCTGTGCAGGGCATCTGGTGAGCACTGAGGCCTCGAAAAGCCTGCTTCTTGCAGAATGTCAGAGCTAAAAGGGACCTGGTCTAGGATCTCACCTCACAAACGGAGAAACTGAGGCCCAGGGAGTAGGGAGGTCTCCATCAGGCCATGTACATATCTGTTTGGTGGAACCAAGATTGATACACCTCTTGGACTCCTTGTCAAGTGCTCTTCTTGGTCCTCTTTACTCAGTGAGTGACTGGGACAGATTGCAGTGCTTGTCCTCTCAAAACCTTGTAAAAATGCAAAGACCCAAATAACCTCAGGCCAGGAAAGCAGTCAGAGGGCCCCTGCCACCCCTCCATTCCATAAGCACACTGGCCGAAGGGACACTGGTCCTACATTTAAGCTAGCAGGGGGCCCCTTTCATCAGCTCCAGAGTCTTACTACTTGAATCATTTAAAAGTTCTTGCTGCCTATCCTAAAATACCACTTGCCAGAGATCCTCCCTGTGTGTGTTTTCTTTGTAGATATGGAGAATAGAAGGTTGACCTTATCTCTGGTTCAATATCACACTTAAGCACATGTAGAACACGCCCCCATCCTCCATGTCCCCCACCCCGAGACTTTCTCTGCTCTGTGCTGACACTACTGAAGAATTCAAGGAAGGTGCAGAGAGGAAGGGGTCTCAGAGGGCAGAGTACCAAGCCACTCTGGTTCTGTTCCTGCACTTGTCCCATCTTCTCTTGCCTGGCCAGTCGGCGCCTCTCTGGACAGGGCCTCTGTGGCAATCAGGGACGTCGGCCAAGCTTGCCTGCCCTAGGTGCAGCCCGGGAAATCCCCACCAGGGTGCCAGCACCAACACGCCAAGCCTCGGGCATAGCACCTGGCCCTGACCTTTTTGGCATGAGAGAAAAGAAAAGAACTCTACAAATAAGTTCCAAATTGGAGCAATAAAAACAAAATAAAAATCTTCAGAACCTTTGGGCCAGTTAACTATGTTCTTATGTGCTGTCATCTCAGAAGGATGACAGCCCAAGACTCCACAGCCCAAGACTGACCTCAGAGGACTTTCCATGGCCCCTGGCGTCTCCCCTTCAGGCTGTGGTCTGTGCCCCAGTCCTGTTTTCCCTGGTCCACACCACTGCTGCTTTTCTCTGCGGAGATGGTCAGCCCCGTAAGATCAGACAGTACCCGTATCCCCTTCGGGTCCAAGTTCTGGTTATAGTAGCAGGCGCTGACTAAATGCTTGGGTCCTGCGTAATGTGAGTGGACTGACTTGTCTCAAACACCACCTGTTTTTCAGTTGTTGAACATAAGCAAGTTTATTTCTCCTTTAGGTAAAGTTACATTGGCAGGTGGGGACCCACAAAAACACATGGGAAATTCTGCCTCTCAGTCCCGGAAATGGTGTGATTTTTGTACCCACATGCCATTGGCCAGGCCTCAGTCACATGGCCACAGCTAACCACAGTGGAGGTTGGGAAATGAAGTACAGCTGTGAGCCCAGTGGAACCGGAAGCCGGCTGTGGT